GTGTGTTCATGTTGTTGTTACAGATGATTAGTCTAATGAATCTGAATAAGTGGAAACATGTATACATGGTTATATTGTGGTACAGTTCAAGGTTTCAAGACCACAGAGAGTCTGTATTGTGTATAGAGTGTAGACTGTGCACAGCTCAGTATGTTATGGACAGTATGTGTATTACACAAATGGCTGTATAAGTCTTTACAGTCATTCAGATTTAACATATGTCCTGTTTTGTTTTTGTTTTCATGCCGGTGATAGCTGGGGCAGGAGGTATTATGTTTCAGGTTGCCTGTCTGTCCATATGTCTGGCTCATTCTTGTGAATGTGATATGTCAGGAACACCTTAATGGAATTTCTTTGAATTTGGCACAAACATTTGCTTGGACTCACAAATGGATTGATTAGGTTTTGGTGCTCAAAGATCAGTAACATCTGTTCAAGACCCATGAATTTGGTGGAGGCACACAGCTACAAAGTCGTAATTCTATTTTGTAATTGTTAATTTGCTTAGCTTGGACAAATTAAAGCTTTGTGTAGTGTTTATTCAAAGTGCGCCTCTGTTTTTCCATATATTGTCACAAATCTGCATCCACAACAAGTAAATGTGATTCACCAAACCCCATGAAAAGTGAGACTGTCGGTACTGTATGTGTTTTGGAGGCAAGGGCCGTACTAAGGACTCAGTGTCAGGATCTCACCTTCTGCTGGCTTGATTTCAATCATTTTTTCTATTAATATTTCACCTTCAAGTTCCAGTGCAACAGTAAATTTTGAAAAAAATGCTCTATTTATTTAAGCTCAAATAAGAAAACTTATACAACTCATGTCTGTAAAGTGAATAAAGAGAATAAAATTCAAACCAATATGTCCTGCCAATAACAACAGTGATAACAGAAATAAAGAGACAAACAATTCATAGCCAATTATCTCAGCATAATATTTTGTTGTCAGCACTAATAATCATTTCTTGGAGCTCTATTTTTATTATATAACATCAATGTAGATATAAGTGACATACTTGGTAAGTAAATAATAAACATCTACATACATTTAAGCAACTTATTGTGGTCAAATGCATTGTTTAAGTTATCTTGAAGGTGGAAATGTTTTCCGTAGAACCAAATAAAGAAAATGACCTTTCAGATGGGTAACGGTAAAGGAACAGTGTTATTCAGTAATCTTGCTGTAACATTGTTTCACTAGCATATCACACTCCTATTTCCAATGATTTTCTGGCTACTTGCTTTACTGCTTTATGACCATATTCTTTCAAATATTGACAAACACTTTAGGTTTAGCAGGATATCAAATGCGCCTTTTGGCTTATTTGATGGGAGTGAATGTAAAGGCCGTTTATTCCCCTAGAACATAAATAAAATCTCTGGTAAATAAAACATCTAATTCTGACCGCCCCCACTCACACATATATATAATAGAAAAAAACAAACATGTATATATTATACACACATGTCAACCTCACCTGGAAAGCTGCTGAGGAAAGCAAATGTCCCTATGTGTCCACCCTACCTTTTGGAAAAAAGACAACCCCCTGGGGTGTAATATAAGTATATGCAATATTTTTTAATGTGACTTTTGTACTGTTTTTATATTTGTGTACCTATGTTTTCTGTTTGGATCACCTCTATAAATGAAGTTCAGTTCACTGACTACAGTAGAGTTTATAGGAAGTGTATAACAATATATATATATGTGTGTGTGTGTGTGTGTGTGTGTGTGTGTATGTATGTATGTATGTATGTATGTATGTACACACATACATAGAAATTCATGGAAAGACCAGTGGCTATTTATGTGATAAAGTACTGTTGAAGCATTTTCCTTTATTACCTCAGCAAGCTTGTTATCTCCACAAGTAGTCAGTCCTTTTCCAAGAATGTGCATGGATAAAAATATCTAAGAAGGAGAGTTCTGACCACATTGTCTGCTATCAAAATGACACACAAACATCATCATGATTCAAAACCTCTTCAATAAACAGAAGATTACAATTAGCCGATTTTCAATAATTCAATAAAAATCTGTTAAAACACTGACGTTAAAAGTCTGTTTGCAAAACTGAGTCATGAGGACTAATGAAGTTCAGTCTAAAAGTTGTCAGACTGATTGAACCAGCGTCCTGTGCCACCAAACATATAGTATGTTTCTATCATGATTTGTTGAAATAATTCAGCCATGGCTTACAAACCGAACATGGCTTTCATCCTGTGATCCGCCAACTCTAAACTACCTGAAATGAAATAGGACATGTTTGACATATTTGTTCTTCATCCACTGGTGTTGTTTTACTTTATTGTTTCAGTCATCTTCCTTTCAGAGCTGCACTTTTCTAAACACTGAATCATAATTTAAGCATTTAACACTAAATGTCCGTTCACCCATTCACTCACACAAGCATTCACACACCAGTGATATCACCAACAGCAACTTATGGTTCAGTGTCTTGCCCAAGGACACTTCAACACTTGGACTGAAGAAGCCAGGGGTCAACCACTGACCCTATGGTTGGGGGACAAACCGCTTTAACTCCTGAGCCACAGCCGCTGGGTTTGTTCACAGCTGAACTGCTGTGCCTTGAATCATGCAGTCACTGGTGATATGTCCCCAATGTGTATACTTTATTGATAAATGAATGTCAGAAAAATTGTCTAGGAAAAGCAATTCCTCAGGCATCACAACAATTCCTGTCCTCATTTTTCACATCCATTGAGAAAGGGAAGAGGAGAATTTGACAAAGACACCAAGACTTCCACCTGACTGTTTTGTAAAGCCACCCTATATCCTCTCCCCTACTTAAAGTGGATATATGCAGAAATCTGTCACCATGTTATATGCACCCTTTTGAGTTTGTTTATATGTGTGACAAACAGACAAGCATGGGAGAGGGAGAGGGAGAGAGAAGGACGGGGGAAGCTCTCAGTGTTTCCATTATGTCAGAGTTCTACTGTATGCCTTTTCCAGTGCACCAAACTCATTTGTCTGTTTCACTCTCTATGATTTGTCTCTGTGTTGGAGGCTAAAGGTACTTTGCATGGAGATTAAGTGTGCTCTGCCCCTTAAGACAGACCGATGTGCTACTTTAAAAGACATCTAACCTTTCAGCCCAGAATGAGAAAAGGTTTCTTGTTTACTGAATGTGTCTGGCCTAGGCAACAGATCTCTCTCTTTTACCATATTTTATCATTTATTTATTTATCTTATTGTATTTTTACTCAAGGAGAATTAAACCTTGAGAAATTCTAAAAACATACTCAAACACTTATTTCCTAGGCCCCCAAATCTTATGACAACTTTTGTTAGCCATGTTGATGTATTCCAAATAAATCTTTATCATTATTTAAACTGTCCAAATATTCTAATGATGCCAGATCCCATCAGACTTGATGAAACTGTGCAAAGAGTAAAGGCAGTCTTTGTTGTATTACAGTATATTGTATGCTATCAGGACTTTAATCAGCCACATGGTGGAATTCAAAAGAGCTGTCCTCGGCTTTAATAATTACGAGAATGTGGTAGTTAACTGATTATTTCCAACCAGAATCTGAGAGGTCACAGTCGGTTATAGAACACTGTGACTATGGCTTTTGAACTCTTTTGCTGAAGGACACCTGAACAAGGGACTTTGATTTCTAACATGAACGCTGCTGATATTTTATATTCATCTTATTGTCAACAAATGCCACTAAAACACTGACCTTGTTGGTCTGTTTGTGACACCCAAGGTACCCCAAGATCCACTTGTTCCTAATGAAAATTAAAATAATATAATTCTTGTGCAAAATCGACCACTTATAGACATATTTATATATCAGCTGGCACTGTAGTTGTAGTCACTTCCAAATAAAACCCAGTGGCTGTTTTCATGATGATAAAGGAACTTGTCATTCAGTTCCATAGTGTGGCTCAATATTTGTTTGTATCAGTGTGTTCTGTTCTTAGTCTTCATGAGATTTGCTGACAGTATGGAAATATGGAATATCACCACGCTTCTCCTTTAAAGGGGCATTCTGCCTTTTTTAGAATCATACCAGGCAGAATAAAATACTTAAACAACATAAAATATTAAAGCAATCAAGATTTGTGTGTGATCAAGGGTTTTTGGTGTTTGGTTCATTCTAGGGACTAAAAACTCGGCTGCTTTGATTATAAAAACTCCTTTTCAATCTGACTGTGTGAGGTCTCCAACATTATGGAAGTGCATAAATAAATCATTAAGCGTGTCCCTGGGTGACTATGCCTCCTTAAATTTGGGATACACTGCAACTTCTGCCTTGACTATGCCTTTCAGTATCCTTATGTCATTTAAGGTCAGACCATATGACAGAACATTTCTGAGATTCAAAGAGAGAGATGAAGAAAAAACCGTATGTGAACTGTTCTTCTGGCAAACAACCAAATAAAATTCCCCTCACACATTAACAATGTATTATTTATCCCGAAAGAAGGCAAAACCAGAATGAAAATGATGGCTTGAGAATGTTAAAACCAGGGATTATTCAGAAGAATGTAGTTCTTTAAACATTTAAATATTTTTTAAACATTATGGGGCGTTTACATTTACTCGGTTGTTACTTTCATTGTAATATGACACAGTTATTATTATTTGCCTACTGGAGTTTCTTTTTCTCGGGGTGTCCCGCAGGTAACGCCGCTACTGTGTGCGTTCATGCGCAGGATGTATTCAATAACAGCTTCCCCTGCACCTTCACGCTTCCACTGGATATACCGAAGGATGATAGAAACCATCAATCACCTTTAAAAGGGGAAGGATTATACATACTGGTACAAGGGCTATAAAGCTGTGTGGTGAGAAGAAAAGCCGTCATGATACGTGTGATGTTCATGAAACGTCGAAACCTGCCGCTGCACCTGGCGATCATTCAAAACTCCAGAAATTAAGTAAGCGGGTGTCTAAGTGTGGCCACAACAAAATTAGGGATGCTGACCCTCTACTTGGAGATGATCCCCGTCCTCATCCCACCACCACAACCATTCCCTTCTCCCTCTCACCTCACCTCCTCCGCCCCCTCCCCCCCGTCCTCCTCATAAATCTATTGGTCGTGGTCTCGGCTCCACTATCCAATGCTTTGCTGATCAGACTGCAGTTGTATTTTCTGGAAGTTGGCAGCTGACGGCTCACAGCAAAAGGCTTTCCTGTCACTCCGCCGCTTGGACAGTGGAATTATGAACAGAGCTGATCCAGCCTCTATCAGCCTGTCTTGAATCTGTCTGTTTCACACCGAGAGAAATTGAACCGACCATGGAGATTGGAGTCCGCATCCTCTTGGCTTTCCTCGTCCACCAGGTAAGACGAGAGAGGTGTGTGTGTGTGTGTGTGTGTGTGTGTGTGTCTGTGTGTGTGTGTGTGTGTGTGTGTGAGAGAGAGACAAATCTGAGGACACTGAGAAGGAGAGAGAGCCGACTTTCTTTGGGCATTCTCTTGTGTTTGTGGCGCAAATAGATGGCTTGTCAAGTTTGTCCCGAGTCAGCGCATAACGCACAGTGCGTTCACCTTTACCGCCTGATGTGCCCGTGCCTTGCTAGAGCAAGTTTGTCCCCGTTTAGTCCCCTTTGCGCGCATGGCTGTCATTTATGGCACCGAGTTTGGGCACAGGGTGTCGGGTCTGGCAATCTGCAGTGCTCGCTCACTTTAGGAATGCGTTTCACATCCTGTCGACAAGAGAGAAGAGGAGAGAGAAACAGAGGACGGAGACGAGGGGGCTGGGGGAGAAAGAGAGCGCAGGGTGTATATTATGTCTATGTGCAAATCACGGCTCCGGCTCTTGTCTCCAGTCGCATCTATATTCCGCTCAGCCACCAACTTGAGCGTTTCTTTGGGCGTGTGAGCGTGTGCGTGTGTGTGCGCGCGTGTGGGAAACAGGCGGATGGAGGAGAGGAGAGGAGAGAAGGAAAGAGAGAGGCGGTGGGGGTGTCAGAGAGACAGAAAGAGAGACACAGCCTAACTTGGCCGCTCTTCTGCCTTTTCTGTGTCGTCTCTCTGGGTATTTCACTCAGTCTATTGCTCTCCGTAGACGTGGACTCCAGGGATATTTAATAAAGCCTTAATTCCCTCTGTGATAGAGCCACTCGCCCGTTTGATCTGACTTTATTAATATGAGGAAAGAGAGAGAGGTAGCTCTGAACAACGGTTTCTGCCAACCTGAGTCCTTAGAAGACTATTGAACAGGGCAAGGCTGCTACTTTTTAACACCTTTGTCCACTTTTTGGCTTGAACAACCTCACTGCATTTATCAAGTTACTATGCCCAACTGAGTTTCCCTTGAGAGCGCATGGCTACTGCCCCTGCATCGCTACTGCCCCTGCATGGCTACTCCAGCAGCCTTGACCTCTGACCTCTTCATTCAGACAGAAAAACATACACATAGTCTCTAGATGAACATCAATAGAAATGATTATTAAAGCATGCACATTGTAGTTTCTCTAATGACAGTGGCTCTTCTGGTGGCACACTGCAAAAGTTTAAGCTGCGGCTAATTTTAAAATAACCAAGCTGAGACTATTTCTAAACACAGCAACAATGGGAGAGCCCTGGAGCGTGGCAGGCAAACAGCTCATTTGGGAAACTCTGTTGTTCTGCTGCGTCTCTCTCTCCTCTCATCCTCCCTCTCCTACAGATGTATCAAGAAGCAGCAGATGGCACAGCTCAAATGGTATTTCTTGTTTGACCTGTGTAGACTTAGGGCCCGCTTTTTGTTGTGTGTTATTCATTTTTAATTGGATAAGTCATTGGTTTATTTCCACATTGCACTTTGATCTTCTGATCTGAAGGCATCATGAAATTATTTAGCCTATTTTATTGATTAGGACCTGCCCTCTGCTGCCCTCAACACATGCACACACACACACCCTGCAGACCTTACACACACAGATTTGTGTTACTACATTTGTGAGTAGGCTTTCCATTGACTTACCCTAGGAACTGGTCAAATGTCTTCAAAACTAAGAGATGTTTTGTAATCTCTGTTTCCACACCCACACATTTCCTGCTGTGGAAGTTCAACACACACACATAGCTCGATCTCTAGCAGGTTACATCTAGTAGATGACACTGGCTGTCATTTGGCCCAGCACTTTAGCTTGTTGATTTAGAGTCTGAGGGATAAAAACTCCAACATCGCCTGCTGTGTAAAGCATAACTTTACTGTTGAACCAGCATGTTTCAGCCTGTGGCCGTCATCTGACCCTGATTAAGGCCACAGGCTGAAATTCTGAAATCTGTTGGTTCGACAATAAAGTTGTTCTTTACACAGCAAGTGCTGCTGAAGTTTTTACCCCTCAAGATTGATTTCCCTTCTCCGTGCACCTCGACAGTGGGTGAAATTGTGCCAGAAATCTCTGCTACATTTTGATTTACAGGCTGACCTACCTCCTCCAGGGGAATCGCAATCCTCTGGCTATCCCACCAGAAGCAGTAGCTGTAAATATTTTGATGTAAATGAGTCCATTTCATGGACTCATTAATGCAAACCACTGAAAATATATATCATATGTCAATGCTGTCCCCTCCAGTGAGCAGCTATCCAATGCACACAGTGCATGTGTGTTTGTATGCACATTTTTATGCATGTGAACACACAAAAGGTTATTCCACCTGAATCATTGTCCACACAAAAACTATAAATCTGCCTTTTCCCCTCTCAGGATCACACCATTCTGGGGTGTTGGATGTGAGATCGAACAGGGTACTCTTATTAATAGAGGGTCAAGTAGGGAGCCAAGGTCCTCTCCACAGAGAGCTGCCATACCTTCCTCCTGCCACCTGTCAACCCCCTCACAGACCCACATATGGGTGCACACACCAATAGCAGCCACCTCCTTGGCAATAAATCCCTGTTTCCCAAATGAAACGCTAAGCAGTCTCTCCGGGTGGAGCAATGATTCAGAATAAGCTCGGCACAGCTGGGAGCTGCAGGTGCAAGGATTTTTCTCTCCTTCTTTTTTACTCCATTTCCTTCATTAATTCCTCTTCTCTGTCTTCCCACTTTGTCTTTCCCTTATACTTGTTTTTTCTCCTTCCTCAGATTTCATTCTGTTTCACGTCCTCTTTTTTTTTTTTACCTTAATTACCAATCCTAATCCCCCATTTATTTCTAAATTGTCAGCACTGTTTTCACTGCACTTTCTCTCTCTTTTGCCAGCGCAGGTTGAGAGTTATACCTCACAGTTTAAATTCTGGGCTGGCACCTGGGCGTGTCTGCGGGAAGATTTGCTGTCATGGAGGTTTATGGGCGCAGTGACCAACAGACTGTTAAAGTTCCTGTTTAAACTACTGCGGGCACAGAGATAGATAGAGAGTACAGGGAGTTCATGGTTTAAAGTGTGCCATCGAAAACCGAGAGACGCCGCGGTGTCCTGTTAAACATAGGCAAGGCTGACCTTCGCAGTGACATACACATCCACACCCAGAGATGCCTGACCCTGACAGACACACTTTATACTTTTATCCTTCATTCTGACTCCCCCATCCTTTCTCTTACCCTATTGGTCCTGGACACAGTTCATTAATCTAGCATTATCAAAAAAAAAGAAGAGTGGACAGTCAGTTCTTGGTATGTCAGCACCATTTATTATACAGAAGTGTATCAGCAAGTGTGACAACACCATACTCTTATACTGTAATCGCTGCCATTTTCCATTTCTAGTTTGAGTCATTTCTTTTTATATTGACCAACAGGCTCACTGTTCAGTGATATACTGCAGGCCGATTGCACCACATGGTAAATGCACCATGTGGTGCCCTCTTTATGAACCACACAGATGGAGCCATGTCATGTCCATCACTGGGCACATGAATCATCCTTTTCAAGCAGACCCCCAGTTAATCGCTTGTTTCTCCTAGGGAGAAGTGTGTGTGAAGTGCCCTTTCAGACTTGCCATCCTTCTGATACTGAGTGCTGTTTTGACAATTTTTTAAATATACAATGAGGTCTGGTTAAGGAGTAACAGTATGACAGGTTACAAAGTCTAATGATGACACTAATGTGGAATGCCAGTCATTAAGGCAGGATGATTTTGGTCTTTCTTCCATTCCTCTGCACATCTCTCTGCCTCACAATTCTTTGCTCTCTTTCTCATTCTGCCCTCATCTCCCCTCACAGTGCTGTCTGGTGTTTGAGCTCCCACAGCCAAGCTGGCAGGGTAAAGGGTTAGAGTTTAGAAAAATTGCAGAGAAGTTTGCAGTTTTAACAGCCTACAGAGACACACAAACACTTAAAATAAAAAGAGCATGAAATGGCTCAAGTAAAAGCAATCCAATACCAATCTACTTTGCTGTCTAAATGTACCCTGGTGTTACTGTGTTTCTAACAATCAGCTGACAAATAGGCTTTCTAGTATACAGGCTCTGAGTTCAGTCTCCATCACATTCTACTTATCTGTACTGTTTCCTATGTGAAAAGCACATGGCCAACCACAGTATTCGGTGTTAAAATACTCTTTGGAGGTTTTTTTTTTTTGGTCAGCTGTTATTGCCAGAAGCCATCACTACAGCTCTAAAAGCTTCCTGGAAATGAAACAGGCATATGCATGCATTCACACCTGACCTGAAAATAACCCAGATGGACACACACACACACACACACACACACACACACACACACACACACACACACACACACACACATTTACACCTGTGTCTACTTATTCTTGTCTTTTAATGGGACGGCGTGAAACAATGACACCATGTTTTTTTTTTTGTGTGTGTGTGTGTGTTTATCCTTGTGCTCCCCTGTGACTGTGGCTGAGCAGCACTGAGATGGACTATAAAGTCAAATACTATCTGAACTCTGTTGTAGGAGGGCATGACCTTTGAGGGAAACACAGTCTTCTTCAATCTTCTTTCTCATGATGCTGCCACTGCTGTCTCCTGAGGAAGGGGAGTGGATGAAAAAGAGATGGAGTGAGGGAGAATGAGGGCTGGAGATACAGTAGTGAGAGTAGTAATTAAAGTAAATATGTCCTTTTAGCAGTCCATTAGAATCTGTCTGAATTTGATATAAGTGGTCTGATTATGCAGAACGCCAGTGGACATTGTGTGGTGTAATCGTGAAACGTGCCAAGTGCAAAAGAGAGAGAGAGAGAGAGAGAAAACCCTGTGTCCTAGGAGAGTGGACTAATGGTTTATTTGTAAGTAGTGATGAGTTTTAGTGGGTTGAGAACGCACACAGAGACAGACAGACACACACACACTTGCACGGAAGGCCTCAGTAACAGTATGTGAAGGACACAGCAGTGCCACGCTGTTCCTCTAGATGATCACACTTTCCTTTCAGTTTGTTCTCCTCT